GAGAAATGAAGGAAAATAAGAGAAAGAGGGGAAAATATGGGAGAGTCTTATTATATATCTTGAGATTGTTGGAGGAGCGGCATTATTATTATTATTATTATCATTATTATTATTAGTATTATTATCACCTGTAAGACTACCTTGGTGAGGGATGATGTAGGTGGGTGGCGTGTTCACTAAGATCTCGTCTCCTGTTGAACCTACACACACACACACACACACGGGATAATCACCTACCACCATCTCGTGTTTCTCGTCTACTGTTAAGCCGACAAGGTGAGGCGGCCTCGTACACTATCTCCGTGACCCTCTAGCCGCTAGCTAGTCCTCACCTGTCTTGTGAGATGTGGGGGGGGTTGAGGGAGAGTGGAACGGGTTGGTGGAGTGAGGGAGTGTCGCCCTCACCTTAGCTGACCCAGGTACATGCTTCTACAAGCTCAGCGGGTGACCTTAATTAGTGCCTACGTGTTCATTATCATTATTACGTGTTAGGAAATATTTTGTTACTATTATTATTGTTATTATAATAATACCTTCTCCCTTCCTTCCTTCCTTCATCCATTCATTCATTCCTTTCTGCCTATCTGACTTCCTCCTTTCTTCCTTCCTGTTTGCACCGCCACTTAACTCTCTCTCTCTCTCTCTCTCTCTCTCTCTCTCTCTCTCTCTCTCTCTCTCTCTCTCTCTCTCTCTCTCTCTCTCTCTCTCTCTCTCTCTCTCTTCCTTCCTTCCTGCATGTATGTTCCTTCCCTCTTGCTTGCCTACCTCCTGCTGGGTTGACCTTGGGCGGGTCAGCACACGGGTGTATCCCTCACCACGACCCCTCTATTAACCAGGTAACCCCTCATTACCCCCGCGACCCCGGGTGACCTGGCCTGACCCTTCCATTATAACTACCTCGCTACGTTAAATCCGCCGGGGTTCATTTAGAAATCTGCCAGGGTTCCTTGTAGTACGCCAGGTTTCTTTAATCTACGCCAGGTTTCTTTAATCTACGGCAGGGTTCTTTAATATACGCTAGGGTTCCTTAATATACGCTAGGGTTCCTTAATATACGCCAGGGTTCCTTAATGTACGCCAGGGTTCCTTTCAATTCAATCAGCGTTGCTTAAAATCCTCCAATCATTTGAAATCTCCTCAAAATCCTTAAAAATCCTCCCAGTCTCCTTAGAATCTACCACAAATCCTTAGAAAAACTCCAATCACTATACAAAAAAAGCCACCAAAGCAACAAATCCAACACATCGTTCGAGAATTCGGATTTACCACCAAGAACAACAACCACCACCACAAACACGACATAGAAAACGGAGCCTCTGTCGCTTAATTTCTCGAGTATGGCGTAGCGCCGCTCAATGCCTGTGATTAGTTGTATGTAATTATCCGTATTAGCGTGATGCATGGACTCCTGTGGGCGATAGAGGGAGCTGATACAGATGTTCACTTCCTGGTGGTGAATGAGGAACGGATGTGTCTTGTTTTAGAGAGAGAGAGACCGTGAGAGAGAGAGAAACAGAGAGAGAGAGACTGAGTGAGAGAGAGAGAGGGGAGATAGTGAGATATTTTGGTGATATTAATCTTTTATTATTATTTATTTTTAATACTGGATGAGTTCTATGCATTGTTTCATCAACCTAGATCGTGTTTGTGAATATTTCTGCGTTATAGCTGATGAATAGACGCTGTAAAGAGAATTCAACTTGTCATTTTAAGCCTTTAGTTGTGTGAGTGGAGACAGAAGTAGACTTGTGGGCTTCAGATTCACACCACTATCTCCCCCCTCTCTCTCCCTCACCCTCACTTCCTTTCTTATCATCCCTCCCTCACCCCTACCCTTCCCCCATCCTTACTCCTCCATCCCTCTCTTCCTTCCCTCCCTCACCTCTCTCCTTCCCTACCCTACCCTCCCTCACCCCTACCCTTCCCCCATCCTTACCCTTCCATCCCTCTCTTCCTTCCCTCCCTCACCTCTCCCCCCCCTACCCTCCTCACCCCTACCTTCCCCATCCTTACCCTTCCATCCCTCTCCTCCTTCCTTCCCTCACCTCTCTCCTTCCCTACCTCCCTCCCCCTACCCTTCCCCATCCTTACCCTTCCATCCCTCTCTTCCTTCCCTCCCTCACCTCTCTTCCCTACCCTCCCTCTTCCCCCTTCCACCCTTACCCCCTCCTATCGTTACCCAACCCTCGCCCTTCCCTCATCTCCCTCCCTTACCCCTACCCCTACCCTCCTTCCCTCACCCACCACATATTCCTTAATCTTATGAGTTACAGGTGAAAGGCAGAATGACCACCCCACACACACACGTTGACATTGGAAGAGAAAATTACATATCTTTACCGTGGTAGTGGGACGTTGAGTAGAGGGAGTTGTGGACTGAGCTACTGTAATATCCTCCTGCTGTAGTGTCTAGTTTGAAAGGATGAACATTGAGGGAAAATTATTATATATGTTAGTTATAGAGGAGAGATTTATTATTATATGCAGTGGTTTGAGTGGCTTGTCAGATTATACCAATTGTGATTTACAGAGTGGTTTGTCAGATGGCTATTATAAGTTATAGAGTGGAGAATTATACGAGTTATAGAGTGGTTTGTCAGAGGGTTATTATAAGTTATAGAGTGGAGAATTATACTAGTTATAGAGTGGTTTGTCAGGATACCAGTTATGGGGAGGTTTCTTAGAGGATTATACCAGTTATAGATGCAGATAAGAAGATACAGTGGTGTGACGCTAATACATCCCTGTGTGACGCCAGAACAACACCAGGTGACGCAGCGAAACAGATTCATAAGGGTGGTGGTGGTGGACAGGTCATCAGGAGGGTGGGGGATCATCACACAGCCACCTTCCTGACACACAACTTACTAATTTAGTCATAATACTGAGCTTTCAATTTAACCTTCCCGCAGAGCCTCGTTTGTCAAAATTAATCCACATCGTTGACTCTAGAGGCTTGGAGGTGTTAAAGGTCTGTCTTTGAAGAGATCTAATAGGTGATTGACCTTTGACCTTTTAAACTTGAGTATTGAGGTCACCCAAATATTACAGTACCGTATGTATTCCCTACCTGTGTGTGTGTGTGTGTGTGTGTGTGTGTGTGTGTGTGCGTGTGTGTGTGTGCGTGTGTGTGTGTGTCCACCTCATTACTCACTCTATAGTTTTACCTCACATGGTTTATAATATAATTTGTAGGGTAAAAACTGCATGCCATTTTCTCCTGATGTGTGAGTGCCATTCGGAAGTGCCAGGGGTGAGGAAGAGGGGTAGTAACCTTGGCACTCTTGACCACTTAAGTAATTTACTATACTTAAGATCTTGTGTTTTGGCAGTAGGGTGGTAGTGTGGTGATTATGGTGTTGTTGGTGGTGATAGTGGTGTTGTTGGTGGTGTTGGTGGTGATGGTGGTGATAGTGGTGTTGTTGGTGATGGTGGTGGTGGTGATAGTGGTGTTGGTGGTGATTGTGTGTGGTGATAATGGTGTTGTTGGTGGTGATAGTGGTGTTGTTGGTGGTGTTGGTGTGATGGTGTGGTAGTGTTATTGGTGATGGTGGTGGTGGTGATAAGTGGTGTTGGTGGTGATGGTGGTGGTGTGGTGGTGGTGATGGTGGTGTTGTTGGTGATGTGGCGGTGGTGTGATGGTGGTGTTGGTGGTGATGGTGGTGGTGGTGGGTGGTGATATGGTGTTGTGTGGTGATGGTGGTGGTGTTGTTGGTGGTGGCGGTGGTGGTGATGTAGTGGTGTTGGTGGTGGTGATAGTGGTGTTGTTGGTGGTGGCGGTGGTGGCGGTGGTGGTGATAGTGGTGTTGGTGGTGGTGGTGATTGTGATGGTGTTGGTGATGTTGGTGGTGGTGATGGAGATAGTGATGGAGATAGTGATGGAGGTGCTGTACTGTGGTTGTTTATATATTGTGGTGATACTAATTTACATGTTATTTTATTATTATTATTATGGTATTGATGTTGTGGTTATTGTTATTGTGTTGTGGATGTTATTGTGTTGTAGTTATATATTATGTGTTGTGGATGTTATTGTTATTGTGTTGTGGGGGCTGTTGTTGCGTGTTGTAATGGTTATACTTATGTGTTGTTGTGGCAGTAATAGCGTCTTGTTACAGTAGTGTTGCCAGCATAGTGGTGTCGGATCTCTCCACGGGATAACATTATAAACAACACATACGTTTCTGTTTCTCCGTCAGTGAATCAGTCAGTCAGTCAGTCAGTTCGGCTTTCAGTGACGTAGTGACATATAGAGCTAGTGCCACAGATATTTTTTAACCATTTTTTAACCATCTCTCAGTTCCGTGTTGCCAAGCTCCTCAGTTCTAAAATATTCCCACCATTATCTTATCGTATCTTAATGGAGTAATGACTACGTACTCGTGTTTATATATAGTAGAGTCTCGGAGCTATTTAGACGCCATCGGGGTTACCATCTTAATGCTGTAGTTTAAGAGAATTGGTTAAGTTTGTTCTCAATTATTCGTTTAGAAGTACAGGATGTTTCAATAAAATTTACACACACACACACACACACACACACACACACACACACACACACACACACACACGCAGATGGTAAGAATGCTCACCTCACAACAACACATCCCTTTACTAATGTATCTGAACTCTTGTACTACATCAGGTGAGTGAAGGAGGTGAGGCAGTATAGCTGTGTGTTTGTTGGATACTGAATAATCAACACGTTTAACACACGCCTGACCTAACCTAACCTAACCTAGCCTAGCCTAACACACTAAACATAACCTAATCTACAACTCCTATCCTAACTCCCGAACCTAACCCAACAGTCACACTAAAAAATATTGGGTACATAAGGTAAGTGCTTTCTAGACACTGGGTCACCAACACACAGAATTAGAATATTTAGCGAAAAAGAAACAAAAAAAAAAAAACATCGTCGGGGTTGGGATAGAAAACGGAGGGTTGATGGGGATGGCCAACTACGCTGGTGGTGGAGGTTATATTTAGCCGGTGAGATGCGGGCAACAGTAGTGCCCTCACAGCATCTAGTGGGTGTGGTAGTTCTTCGCCGTTGTGGTGATGTACACGTGTGAGTAAGAGGCGATCGACTTACTATACTGTGTAGCATGACCGAGTGTACGTTGTGTGAGGTGGTGGAATAGGATAGTGTGTGTGAACTGGGTGATTTAAGCCAGAAAGAAGGTTAACGGTGTGAAGAAGGAGGGAAGGAGTAGCGTCGGTGTGCGTGAGTGAGTGACGGAGAGGATGTGAGTCGGTAGTGACATAATGCACGTAAACATAACAAATTCCTCCCGGCCCCTCCCTTCCTTCCCTCTACCTCCCTTCCTTCCCTCCACCTCCTCCTGACCCCCTCCACCTCCCGCCCATCCTTCTCTTTCCTTCCCTCCACCTGCTCTTTCCCCTCCTCTTCTTCCTCCTCCTTGTCAGTTGCACGTGTGGGCCCAGCTGGCACTACCACGTCACCCACAGCTCACTCACACACACACACACACACACACACACACACACACACACACACACACACACACACACACACACACACACACACACACACACACACACACACACAGGCTTTTGTTAAACCACCAATGTATGTAATAAGTCATTTTATGTCCAATGTATATTTTCACCCTTCAGACTTAGGCTTTTCAATAAACCGTTTATTATTATTATTATTATTATTATTACACACACACACACACACACACACACACACACACACAATTGGAGACATTGAGAGTTAAGAGTATCACTTCTCTCTTCCCCCAACAGGTAAGGTACAGAAGCAGACAGATATGACCAAGCAGCGCCCAGCGTCTTGATGGTGAGTACCCCAGTGTATTATTGTCGTTATCTCACCGTACAGACATTGAGGTTATTTAGGATAATCTTTGAATATAATGTAAACAGTGAGTTATTTATAGTAGACCTGTGGGAAAGGGTTTTAAAACAGTGTGAGATGAGGGTAGGGGGGAGGAAGATGGTGGTGGAGAGGTGGGGGGGAGGACAGGTAGGAGGGAGGGGTGTGGCGGTGAAGAGGTGGGAGGGAGGGTGGTGGTGGAGAGGTTGATGTTGTGAGGGTAGGGGGGAGGGACCTGGAGGTGGTGAAGGGGGTCACATCTCCCCTGTAGTACCCCCTCTCCACACACACACACACTACATCCTTGATCACCGTAGGGTCAAGACTAATCAGGCGCTGCTCCTGCTGAGCAGCGGCCCCCCTTGGCCATGTTCGGCCCCATTCCTGAAGTTCCTCTCCCCGACCCATCCTCACCACTGGGATATCGACATAATCAAAAGTGACAATTTCGTTTCGGAAAGAAGTGGGATCAGTATTGAATAGTGTTTAAGCCAGTGAATTCAGCACTAGACAGTACCAGTGAGAGCCGTGACCCACCAGTGAGATAAGCACCCTTGAGAACCATCATCTGGCCAGACGGTGTTAATCCACCCTGGGAACAACAGAGGGCCGGCTATGCACCTGACTACGAGATAACACAACACCACCCAGCAGAGTGAGATACTGTGACACCACCACACACCACATGGTGTTCCCATGACCACGTGAAGTCCTTCATATCAACACCCAAGGACGAGTTACTGCACCACGTGAACATCACACCAACCCAGTGTCTCCATGACCACGTGAGGTCCTTCATACCAACACCCGAGGACGAGTTACTACACCACGTGAACACCACACCACCTGGTGACTCAATGACCAGCCCAGGCCCGGGCCATCAACAGTAAACTATAATAATTTGTATGTTCAATTCATGTTCCTTCTTCTTTCAATAATGAAAGCTTTTGTTAATCGACCCACCTACCCGATGTCTCTGTATGTAATAAATCATTTTTGTCCAATATATATTTTCAGCCTTCGGGCTGCAGAAGTTTTTCAATAAACCGTTAATTATTATTATTATTATTATTATACACACACACACACACACACACACACACACACGCGCACACACACTCACACACACACACACACACACACACACACACACACACACACACACACACTTTCTCATGTATGCATTACTATCTTGCCATTGATCAGATACATAACCTTGACGATCCCCTCCCTCCCTCCCTCCCTCAACCTCCCCCTACACCCCTCTGTCACCCCTCCTACACCTCCTCCCTCCCTCCTCCCTCAACCTCCCCTACACCCCCTCTGTCACCTCCCTACACCCCCCTCTGTCACCTCCCTACACCCCTCTGTCACCCCCTACACCCCCCGGGCCCCCGTACACCCCTCTCCCTCCACCTTGTCATGTCTGAGATTGTCATAATTGTCTACACATAATGACAGTGTCGTGGGTCTGAAGGCTGTCACCATAAAACACAACATCTCATTGAATATTTTCCTCGTTATATCCTACATGCGTGTAGTGGTGTTCTTAGGTGGTAAATTATGTGATTATCTGATTTTCTTGTTAAAGGTGTTGTGGCCAGGTAAGTGACTGGCTCTGTATGCTTGATCTTACCTGGTCTCTTCACCTGGTCTTGTTGATGATGATGATGATGATAATAATGATAATAATAATATGGTAATAATAATAATAATATAGTAATAAATAATAATAATAGGGGGAGGAAGAAGAAAATAGTAATAAGAATGATAGTAATAATAGAAATGATAATTAATGATAATAATAATATAAAAAAAAAAATAATAATAATAAAACAACAATAATGATGTTAATAATAATAAGTAAAAGAAGATGATGAATATTTAATTATTATTGGAGATAAATGCAACAACGCGATGAGAATACGACACACACACACACACACACACACACACACACACACACACACACACACGACCATCTTGGCACCATGTAAACTGCATTACGTAAAAAAATTTGTCACGTGTCGTATCTTCTTGTTAGTTGTAGGTATTGTAATTAAAGGAATTACGTTCTTTAAGAGGTACAGTGTGTGTGTGTGTGTGTGTGTGAGGAAGAGGATTATGTTGATATTATAATGTATTACTGCGCCTCAATAACTAAGGTCAATGTCGTTTAGGTTATCATAGACAATACACACACACGCACACACACACACACACACACACAATGTGTAATAACAGCAGTGAGGTTAATGTTTCACAGCCACACAATGATGTAATAACAGCAGTGAGGTTAATGTTTCACAGCCACACAATGATGTAATAACAGCAGTGAGTTAATGTTTCACAGCCACACAATGATGTAATAACAGCAGTGAGGTTAATGTTTCACAGCCACACAATGATGTAATAACAGCAGTGAGTTAATGTTTCACAGCCACACAATGATGTAATAACAGCAGTGAGGTTAATGTTTCACAGCCACAATGATGTAATAACAGCAGTGAGGTTAATGTTTCACAGCACATAATGATGTAATAACAGCAGCATGTTTCACAGCACACACACGTTTCACAGCCGCCACAATGCTTGTGGCAGTGAGGTTAATGTTTCAATGATGTAATAACAGCAGTGAGGTTAATGTTTTACAGCCATACAATGATGTAATAACAGCAGTGAGGTTAATGTTTCACAGCCACACAATGATGTAATAACAGCAGTGAGGTTAATGTTTCACAGCCAACAATGATGTAATAACAGCAGTGAGGTTAATGTTTCACAGCCACACAATGATGTAATAACAGCAGTGAGTTAATGTTTCACAGCCACACAATGATGTAATAACAGCAGTGAGGTTAATGTTTCACAGCCATACAATGATGTAATAACAGCAGTGAGGTTAATGTTTCACAGCCACACAATGATGTAATAACAGCAGTGAGATTAATGTTTCACAGCCACACAGTCAACGTCAGCCATCAAAGGCCGTCATTTATAATTGCTGCCTGACCTTCCTCGCCCTGCCTCTCTCTCACTTATCTGGTGTATCTGCGTCATCACCTTCGTCAACGCCTGCGACGTTACCTGTGGAGTTGCCTGTTTTAACTCCGGCGCCATCATCTACGGCATAACCCGCACCATCTCTTAGCATCCCACCTGCCGTAACCACCTGCGTTCACCACCTGTTCTCACCACCTGCCTCAGACCATCCTCAGGGACTATGTACAGGTGTGGACAAAATTCCCTGGACACCTGGCAACATCTGGGTCATATATATGGGTCATATATATGATTGTTCTACAGTTGATGAAACTCTGCTTTAGATGGTGAATTATATCTCAGTAACATGATTAAAAACACGTTTATTATACTGGAGGCCACCACTCCACTCCACTCCGGTTATTGTGATTATCCACAGTGATAATATGTATTAACTCCAATTTTCCATTATTGTTATTTATTTTTTTTTTACGTTTTCAGTCTGTCGTTTATTTAGAATTACATGATTGAGGAAAAGGAGAGGATGTTGTTGACAATTCCTGACCATCTTTGTCGTGTCACCGTCGTCGTGAAAGATAAACAGCTGATTATATTAATTGTAGTGGAGTGGATGTTGGTCTGATAATGATGTTGATCTTAGTGGCCCTAATGGTCGACCCTGTGTGTGTGTGTGTGTGTGTGTGTGTGTGTGTGTGTGTATGTGTGTGTGTGTGTGTGTGGTGAGTGTGTTTTAATAAGGTGTGCGTCGTTGTTATATCAAGGGACACACAAACACACACTAAAATAATAACAACAACAGCAGCGTGACCTTCAACACATCATTGATCAGTAATGCTCACCAAGAACTAGGACATGAACTCAAAAGGTTGACAAAGGTCCCCCGTCATCCCCACAGTCCAAGGTATTCCAAGTGTCGTTCGTTGACATTTGAGGACGATGAGGAACACATGCCCGTCCCATCCAGCCAGTAAGGTCACCCCCCCCCCCGTCCCTCCCCCTCCCCGTCAACTGTTGGTCTAGAAATTAGTTCTCAAATTTGTGTTGAATTACTTATCTTCCTGAGTTACCGGACCGTTTGTTTCTCTGTCTGTCCGTTTGTGTCCGTCTATCTGTCTGTTTGTAAGTATATCCGTCCGTGTCTCTGTCTCTGTCTGTGTCTATTTGTAAGTTTATATTGTGATCGAGAGTGTTGTCTGTGTGTGTGTGTGTGTGTGTGTGTGTCCTGTGTCTACGTGTATTCATGATTGCTTGCATCCCTGCATACATGGTGCGTGTTGTCCATGTTTTCTTTGTGTATTTGTGTGTCTTGTGTGTTTGTTGGGTGGCGTGTTGGTAGTTCATTACAACACCAAGATGATGTAGGCGAGGCACACACACACACACACACACACACACACACACACACACACACACACACACACGGTAACAGGACAACAAGAGAGAAGAGAAGAGAAGAATTAACCTCTCACCTCGACATTTGTGACCCAGATAATTTTTTTTACATGACCATCAAGAGTCCCAGCCCAGGTGACCTTTGACCTTACTGTGGAGGGGTCAAGGTGACACTTGGCCTGATCTTTGGCACGTCATGAGGGGGGTTAAGAGATGAAGGACACATTGAAAGAAGGAAAGAAAGGAAATGTTTCTTGATTCTAGTGTCCAAGATAAATGAAAGGTGGTTAGTGGGCGTGAAGGAACCATCAGAGGCGGGTAGTGGGCGTGAAGGAACCATCAGAGGCGGGTAGTGGGCGTGAAGGAACCATCAGAGGCGGGTAGTGGGCGTGAAGGAACCATCAGAGGCGGGTAGTGGGCGTGAAGGAACCATCAATGGCGGGTAGTGGGCATGAAGAAATACGTGGTATTGCAGCGGGTAGTGGGCGTGAAGGAACCGTATTGGCGGGTAGTGAGCGTGGAAGGAACCATCAGGGCGGGTAGTGGGCGTGAAGGAACCATCAATGGCG